AAAAAAAAAGTTTCCGTTCTACTCTGACACACAGTGGGGACCAACTCAATGAGGGTTAGTATAAAGAATGAAGACAAAGAAGAAAGCTAGAGAACGTGGCTAAAACAAGCCTCAGGTTGTGGGAGACATCTGTTTGGTCCCCCGCCATTCTGTCAGGGGAGGCGTTTGTATCCCTAGGATGCTGAGGAGGTTTCAGTAGAGCTCCCGCTTAGGCAGACTAGGAAGAAAGGCCTGGTAATCTACTTCTGAAAATCCACCAATGAAAACCTTATATATCACAAGGAAGCGCTGCTGGGATAGTCCAGGCTCAGGCAGCATCAGGCTGCATTCTGTGTGGGGTCTACCTGAGCTCAGGCTGACCCGGAGCAGGGGAAACTGGGTACAAGAAGCTGTGGGGTGGGTGTTGCAGACAGTTTAAGGGGTGAGAAGACTCAGATGGCACTAGCATTCGGATCTGGGGTTCTGGTCCTGTCAGTGAGCGTGGTCTAAGCCAGGTAGGAAGGTGCCGTGGGACGAACCTGTCTCACACCTTTTCCAGGGAGGCCTGGGAGCCCATGACAGATGGGTCTTGTTGATAAATGGAGACAACACTGGTAACCGGACCCTCTCGCATTTGCATTTCAGGCTTCGAACTGGTAATCACGAGACAAGCAAATGAAGAAACATTGAAATGACCATTAATCGAGAAAAAGAAGATGACAACACGGCATGGAGGTCAGATGCTCCCCACGGCCAGCTGCGTTCTCACCGTGGAAACCTCCTTCCAAGCAGAATGGCCATCATGAGCAGCGGCACCACAGACAAAGACTTGTCCGACGTGAAGGTCGTCTTCACCCTAGTGGTGTCCGGGCTGCAGTGCATGGCGGGTGTGGCTGGGAACGGCTTCATCACAGCCGTCCTGGGCGCTGAGTGGGCCAGGGGCAAGCGGCTGCCCACTGGAGACTCCATTCTGCTTCTGCTGAGTGTCTCTCGGTTTCTTCTTCAGCTCTGGATGATGCTGGAGAGCGTGCTCAGCCTGCTCTTCCGAAGTACCTACAACCAAAACACCATCTACACCCTCTTCAAAGTCATCATCATGTTCCTCAACTACTTCAACCTCTGGCTAGCCGCCTGGCTCAACGTCTTCTACTGCCTTAGGGTGGCCAACTTCGCACACCCCTTGTTCTTCACGATGAAGAGGAGGGTCGTGGGGCTCATGCCTTGGCTGGTGAGGCTGTCGGTTCTTGTTTCCTTCAGTTTCAGCTTCCCCTTCTCCAAGAACATCTTCCATGTGCACGTGAACAGCTCCATCCCTGTCCCCTCCTCCAACTCCACTGAGAAGAAGTATCTCTCTGAGACCAACGTGGTCAACCTAGTCCTTCTCTACAACCTAGGCATCTTCCCACCTCTCATCATCTTCATCCTGGCAGCCACCCTGCTGATCGTCTCCCTCAGGAGGCATGTCCTGCACATGGAAAGCAATGCCACTGGTTCCAGGGACCCCAGCATGCGGGCCCACCTAGGGGCCATCAAATCCATCAGCTACTTCCTCATCCTCTACATCTTCAATACCATCACTCTGTTCCTATCCATGTCCAACATCTTTGAGATCAACAGTCCTGGGAACATTTTGTGCAAAAGCATCATGGCCACCTACCCTGCTGCCCACTCAGGGGTGCTGATCTTGAGCAGCCCCAGGCTACAGAGAACCTGGAAGCGGCTTCAGCACCGAGTGCATCGGTACCTAGAAGGACAGACTCTGTAAGGTATGATAAAGGAGCACCATGGGACCTGGTCCCTCAGCTCTGCCTCCTTCCCTAGACGGTCCTCCTCGCCCAGGTTTTTTCTCCTCAGACCTGCAGGTAACTAGATCCCACCTAGAGTGTGAAGCTGGATTTTCACCTGAGACTCTACTTACGAGCAGCTATGCAGCACAAAGGCGGATTTCCAAAACACCTGGATCTCCACTCCCCTCTCCTCTGAGCCTTCTGGGGTGAGGAACCAGCCAAGTCAGCTTGCCCAGGACAACCTGTGTTGTAGGATGAATGCTAGGGTCACGCTACTTAAGGACTACCCACAGAGAGGTGCAGCACTGCATGCTGGGAGTGAAGGAGAAGCCCAAGGAAGGAAGGATGCAGGAAGAGGTGCAGGGCGAACTTATGGTGGGCTCAGATCTCTCAGACGAAGATGGAGGGAGAGAACCTGACTCCAAGGGGTCACCTGGACAATCATGGAGCTTCCGGACAGACGGGTTTGTGAAGACTAGTCATGAAGGGAGGTTGGAACAACATAGGACAAGGGGTGGACAGGTGAGCAGGGGTCCACGTGGGAGGCAGAGAAGAAGGAGAGAGGATGAGGAGAAGTGGGCAGGGGCAGAAGAAAAGCAGCCCAGTGAACGAGTCTCTGCTTGCTGCCCTCTGCCCCCGACCATGTGGGCAGCCTCGAGCCAGGCTGTCTGGTCACCTGGGAGGGACAAGGGATAGGGACGGACAGATGGAAGGAAACACCCAGCAAGCAAAGGACTGTTCACTGAGGCCCCATCTGACACTGTGCAACCAGGAAGTCAGGAATGTCGACTTTCTTGTCTGAGTGTTTTACGTTGTCAGGACTGCAAAGTCTGGAAACTGCTATGGGTGAGCCTGGGTCTAAGCTGTCCCCAAGTGGACAGGTCAGGGCCGCAGCAAAGGGGACGCACTGAGCTCATAGGGCTTGTATCAGAGATAGTTCCTCCTTGTAGAAAGTCTCACATACACACACTCACAGACTCACACACACACAATCATACACACCACACACTCATACACACACTTACCACACACCACACACCACACACACTGATATACACACCACTTACTACATACCACACACACCACACTCAACACACACACACCACACCACACACCACACACATCACACATACACACTCACACACACACCATGCACACTCACACAGGGGAGAGAAAACCCTTCACATTCAGAAAAGCTGGTGTTGGGGTGAGGGGTGGTGGCAGGCTGGGGACCCCTCCTGGATGTCTGGAGGCGGGGCTCTCTGTACCCCTTTTCTAGGCTTGGTTGAGTCCACAGCCCCATGAGGAAGATGTGGCCCCAGCAGGACAGCAGGACAAGGGTGGACAAAGGCCCTGGGAGGACAGACCCACTCCCTTGTGGCTCCCACCTGGCTGTCGGGATCACCCTAAGAGAAGGCATCCACAGATGTCTGAGAGGTGCGTCCTGGGCAGACATACCAGGCCTCTGAGGGACCAACCACCCTGACTGGGAGAAAAATAACTCTTTTCTTTTTCTGGTTGTCGCCAGTGGGTTTTCAAGTCTGTTTTTAGTGACGTGTCTGTGGGCGGTCCACCTCCCTCTGCATGAGGAGCAAACCAGAGAAAAGTGGTTTTAAAGGCAGAACAAGGGACCCTGAAAAGCTGCCCTGGGCCCTGGGCAGGGGCAGACTTGTGGGGCGAAGAGGAAATTCCAAGGGAGGGGTAGCAGGGATCCACGGCCCCACACTCTCTGAAGTCCAGAGACTTGTGTCTGGATCCTGGCTGTGTTTGGTCCTCACTGGTTGTGGGGTACAGACCTGTAACTGAACCCCATAAACCTCAGTTTCTGTATCTGTAAAAATGGGAATGAAAATACCTACATCCCTGCCCCCACAGTGGTTAAAAGCTTGGCTGCTAACCTCAAGATCAGCGGTTCAAAGCCACCAGCTGCTCCTCAGGAGAGAGACGAAGCAGTTTGCTCCTTGAAGTGTGCTCCATAAAGATTTACAACATCAGAAACCCTCTGGGGAAATTCAACTCTGTCCTATGGGGTCCCCATGAGTCAGAAACTACTCAACGGCAACGGGGTGACGGTTTTACTATCTTGGAGTCAGAGGGAGTTCAAAACATTAACATGTTCCGCTGCTCCCCAAAAGATTGGAGGATCCAATCCACCCAAAGGCACCTCAGAAGAAAGGCCTGGCTATCTACTGCCCTAAAAGTCAGTCAGTCGCTGAAAACCTATGAGCACTGTTCTGCTCTGACACACCTGCGGAGGCTGTGAGTTGGAGTCACCTCCAGGATAAGTAATTGTATTGTTGATGCTGCTGCTTCAGATCTCTGTTTGAAAAACAAAAACAGAACCGAAAGAAAGAAAACCAAACAGTAAACATGTGTGTACCCTTTCTACCACCTCCACTAGGCTAAGGTGCAGGCAGATTAGACACGGGTCTCAAAATTTGTTTTTCTCTGAAGCTCTGAAGGAGCCAGACCCGAAGCCACTCAATCCCTAACAGTGAGTGAAGCGGGGTGAACACATGTTTCAGGGTCCTCAGAAACTGTGGCAAAGGCATGTCCCAGACGGAGCTGTCTGTGAGATCAAATGTCACTGTCAGGGTCAGGACCCGCTGTGGGCTCCTGGATCCAGCATGGCAAAGCTAGACCCTCTGTGCTTGTCCAATGGGAGGCCGTTGGCTGGCGTGGCACCTGCAGAGAACCCCAACTTTGGCCCAAAGATGGAGATTTCTGTCCCAAGGTGACGCTGGAAAAGTCACTGTGTTTCTGAGCCTCAATTTCCCTGTGTGGACAATCGAGATGACCGTAATATCCGCATCACAGGGCTGTTGTGAGGCATGTACATAATAAACTACAACTCACTGGACAACTCGCACATGACACAGGTGGTGTGTGAACACTGAGATCTCAGGACTGGACTCACCAGCAAGCCTTCCTCCGGGAGTTCATGAGCTGGGAAGGTGACAATGTCCAGTGACAATGTCTGAGCTGCCACCCCCTCAGAAGTGCCAACCTAAGACCCATTCCCACCAAAAAGCCCCCTCATCTTTCTCCTGGGGACCAAGCGAATGCTGCTCCCCAAGCCCGGCTTCCTCTTCGGGCAGGAAGTGGGGGCAGGGCCTGAGGGAGGAGGCAGTTTGACAAGTTTGCATCTCCTGCCTCCACCCCACACAGGTGCCGGTGACAAATGGTGGCTGAAGGCCCCGAGAGGGGCTCACAGGAAGGCCTTCTTTTTATTATCCATGGAAAACAACCGAGAATTCACCCTTGACTCATAAACTTGTCTTTGGGATGCTGAGTCCCAGGCCCAGGGAATTCAGATGGACCATGCACAGGGGTGACTGTGTCCACAAGAGACCCCAAGAAGCTGGGTTTATTACCTGCTGAGGAAGGAGGGAGGAGAAGCCATGGATGGCTGAAGCCCAATATTGTCCCTACAGTGGGCCTCCTTGGCCAGCCAAATAGACACACAGTGTGGGAGAGCTCTGTCAAGCTCACAGGGAGCGTGCCACATAGGACAGGGGACAGAGTGCAGCGCCGACAGGCCAGGTGACCTTGGGAAGTGCCCATCCAGACATATCTACCTTAGCAGATAGGGCAGCTTCAGGACAGCCCTGCTTCCACACCCCACCCCAGAATACATAACTGTAGGCTGCCCTCTCCGCTCTGGCCTGGCCTTTCCTCCTGTCGACCATCACAAGAGTGCTCTGTCTCCCTCAGCTTTCTCTTTCCCAGCAACTCTGAGCCCAGAGCCTGGTCTGCTCAGAACAAATGCCCCTGGAATCAGTCTCTCATCAGGTAACTAGGAAGAGGCACCGTGAGCAAGCAGGACGTACTTGCTCTGAATTGTTTGTGCGCACTTTTCATTTCTCATTTCGCATTCACTTGTCATTTCCCAGGGCCAACGAGAGGCTGAGATTTCTTCATGTGTGATCGATCTTGTTGTTTTGACGTTGTGTAGGGTTATAGATGCTACAATCTTTGTGGGAGCAAAAAGCCTCACCTTTCTCCTGCATAGCGGCTGGTAGACTCAAACTGCCGACCCTGTGGTTCACAGTCCAGGTGCTTGGTCTTAACATAATAAAAACAAAACCCTCCTAAATGCTTTAAGTTTTCAGTGGCACTATAGGATCAGCACTGGACTGTGAACCAAAAGGTCAACAGTTCAAACCTTGGAAACCCTGTTCAGGATCACTATGAGTTGTGACCTGCTCAACAGCACTTAACAACTACAAATTGTGAACTGCTTTTTACCTTTTCATGAATGAATTAATGAATTGCCATGTGTGTATTCTAATAGCTGAGAATATAAACACGACTTAGCCAATTGTGGGCGCTGGGCCTAAGAACCGTACTTGATAATACAAGGTTCGTTTTTTTGTTTTTTGGCTTTGGTTTCCGCTTTGGGAAAGTGGAGTCGTCCCACCCCAACCATTCATAAGTCAGCTCAGCTCAAGTTGCTCTAAAAATGGTTCTGCTTGGTTTTCTGATTTCTTTCTCTCTGTCTCTGTCTCTCTCTGTCTCTCTCTGTCTCTAACGTGTGTTCTGCAATGTGAGCCCTGGATGGTGTTGTTTTCTTTCTTCCAAAAACCCTTCAGTACTTTCAATGCGTTCTTTTCCATTTAAGTTCTGCCTTCATTACAAACGCTCACAAAAATCAAAGAGCCTTCTTTCAAGATAGCCTCTTGGGAACCTAATTTGCTGTGTAAACTCTTATCTTAAACACAAAATATTTTTAAAGAAAAATAAATTCCTCTATTCTATTTGAAAGAAAAAAAAAAGGTTCTGATTTCCATGGAGTCCTGGTGTGGCATTGGACTGCGAACCACACAAGGTTGGTGGTTCAAATCCACCAGCTACTCCTTGGAAACCGTAATCAGGGTCAGTATGAATCAGAACTGCCTCAACAGCACTTAACAGGAGCAGTAACAAGAACATTGATTTTCATAAGAAGCTCAGGTGGCACTGTGGTTTAAGTGTAGGA